TAGAAATGTTAACTCTGTAATTCTTTTTCCCTTGTAATGTGTTAAAAGTATTCTCCCTATTTTTTTCAAAGGAGGTAAAATTTCTCTCTTGCCTTCTCTGAGATTTCCTGTGATGCTGCACATGTTTGATAAAGATATCTTTCATATCCCTTTCTTTAAGAAGAATACTACTTACACTCTATTTGGATTCAGCAGCATACAGGATTGTAGTTCTTTGCAGGCAAATTTGGTTGACTTTAAAATACTTGAGAAGATGAAAGGGAAATGTCCAGCTGAACGCTACATAGGTATGCAGTAGTATGTGGTAAGATCGAAGTCTGCTAGCCACATACTTCTGCCTATTCTTCTGACAATCTGTTTTCAGCAGAAATAATACATTGTGGGAGTTATGTACTCTGGAACATCTGGGTAAGCTATGGAAAACAGCATGATGCTTTGCATAACCAGACAGATTACATCAAGGCCAAATCAGACCTGGGAGGAACTGCAGACTCCTGGGTATGTGTGAAATTGCTCTTTCACCTTCTGTTGTCATTTTTTCTTAGGAATTAAATAACTCTCCCAGATCACATGGCTATAGTTTTTAGACTTGAATCCTACCACAGTCTTCATGATGCTCCTTTCAATGTAAGGGAGAAAATCTGCTTTTCTCCATAAATTATAACTTTTTTTTTGGTTTTGTGCTTCAGAAAATGAAAGTAATTTATACCATGTGTATACAAAAAGATTGTAATAGCTTGTTATTTAAGTAAAAAAACTCATGAAATAAATTAACACTATTCCTCTAAAGAGTCATAGAAACACTGTTCTCATGTATATGTGCCTGTTCATTTTAGTTTTGAAAGATAGATACCACATCTCAGTGTGCATAGATGATGTCTGTTGCACCTGGGCTTTAAAAAGGTAGGCATGTAAAATCATTTTTCATCTCTGAAGATCTCTACAGTAAACCTGAACACCTGAGCCTAACACTGAATGCCGTTGCTTTTCTGGGTTTAAGTTAGACCCCTGATATTATTTGACCATACAGTACTTTTTTAGTATGTGAATGTTCTCTGGGTTTTTTTTCTCCTGGAGCTGGAAAACAAGACTATAAATCCCAGTGTCGGAACTTGAAAAATTGGGTTTATGTGGTTCAAATCTTTTGAAAATTCTATAAAGCAGCATGAGACTGATTGTTCTATTCAATTTCTAGCTATTGATCCAACTGAATGCTTGTTTGGAGATTGCCTTTGCAGCTTCATTTGGGCAGAAGAAATACTTTTCTCTTTAGAGATAGGATGTGTGGGGATTTCACTTACAAGGGACACATTTCATGTATACATATTTCTCATGCTGAGGGCAATAAAATGGTTTTGCCCTTGAAGCTGAGCATTATACCTCTAACTGGCCCAGCTTCCATGTGTGTTAATTACAAAAAAACATGGTGAGCAGCTCAAAATTGGGAGATGAATGCTTTGGCTACCAGAGGAAAATAGTTCTGATTAAAGATATGACAAGCTGACCAGCCTGTTTCTATATCAGGCTCCCTGTGGTAAAGCCATTGTTGGCAAGAATTCAGAACTGAAACACTTGGACCCTGGGCCCAAGGGCACCAAAGCCTACAATTATGAGAGGTGATATGAGTTGGCCTAATTGCCAACTATCCTACTGACATAAAGGTCATACAGATGCTCTTATCCAAAGGTCTTTGTTCATTTGTGCACCTGAGATGTAAGAGGTTTTTCCTAAATAAGTACAAATACTAATTACACCTAATTACACAATGTTGCTTTTCACTTTTTCTTTCAAGGTAAGGCAAATAATCTATGATGTTCCTATTTCTCTTTCCCTCTGCTTCACTATTATATTTTTCAAGTCACGTGCTTTTGTTAAATTTCATTTATGTTTATATGTCTGTGTTTTATAAATATATACAGTGAAGTTCTTTGAGCTAAAACTGTGATGCAAGAGCAGAGATAACAGTATAGTAAATTGATTCTGTAAAACATGTTCAAGAATTAAGATACTTGCTATACATGTGAAAATTCAAGAGGTAGACCAGAGATAAGCATTAAAGCAAAAACCTAAAATGCCACTTCCTTAGTTGACTACAGTTATGTTTGCTTTATGTAAGATATTACATATCTCAGGAACAGTAAGCAAGTAAGTAATCATTACACCTACATAATGATCTGTATGAATGGTCCCTAGAACAGTGAGTTCTGGCTTTTGTGTTTGTAGCTTCATCCATGGTATTCAAGCTGCATATGAACATGAAGACATTTCAAAGGTATCCTGCTGAGATCCCCAGCAACTGTACCTCTGTGAATGCTTTCTCTGACATGTAGCATAGGAAACGAGTGGGCTTTTTTCCTTTTGAAAAAGTTGTCAGTGCCTCATATCGTCACATGATTTTCAAATTTACCAATAATGATGATATTTTGTGCAGAACATCCCTGTGGGGATTTGCATTTCATCTTTTCTTCTCTTGTTCTTTTTGAGGTCATGCATGAATGGGACCTGAAGGTCTGTGGCTCCTGAATTTGAAGCTTCTCATTTGAATAATTTAAGTTTGCATTAGCTTAATCTTTTAGGGACTTGGGGGCTTTGGAAGTTTAGCTATTACAAGGCCACAATGGTCTTCTGGGGGCATCTTTCAAGACTCATGAAAACTTGGCATTCAGTGATTTTGGTGTTGCCCAGTCCTTGGCTGAATTAATGTTTCTTAAACAAAATTTCTAGCCTTCTCTGGTACCTTCAGGGTTATTTCATGTACAGAATTGCATTATATTACAAGCATGATAAATATACAGTATTGACTTAGTGTTGTTTTTCATACAGTCTTATAAAATGGTATTGATCCATCTTTAGTTCTGAAGGTCAGCATAACGTTTACAAAGAGAAGTATATGAGGTTAGGAAACATTATGCAGTAGTTGACAATTAAAGTATTAAAATGTGACCTGCTGTTGCAGGAGCTTTCAGCAAATCTTTTAGTATCCTTATCAGTCCCAAACTGCATACGTATGATCTAGGTTTTGGCTAATAAAAATTAATACAATATTGTACTGATTAGGATACTTTGCACTGTAATAATCCTTTCCTTAGAACAGCTCAACGTGCATTATAACACCTTCCCTTTAAAGCATGCAGTTACTTTATTATAGAGTAAATCCATTACCAACTTGGGAATGGGAAACATCTGATTCCAAGTGTCTATTTTTCTGCTAGTAGTATTTGGTTCTTCTTTAGTGTCTATGTCCTTTGCAATGCTTAATAACTTACATATTTAGTCTCTTGAGATAGGGGAATATAAATAGACACCTTGAATAGAAAATTAAGTGAGAATTGGAAAATACTGCATGGAAAGTAAAACTGTAAATAGAACCCACAGCTGTGAATTTGTAAAAGATCACTGGGATTTAGTTTGAATAGCTTTGGAGACTGTTGTGGTCTTTTTATTGAGGAGAGGTACAGTTTTGCTTATGTATAAGGTTGCTTCCCTGGACTAAAGTCTCTGTGATATGCTCACTGAATGTAGACAGAAGAGGAGGGATAGCTGAATGGTGCATCTGTGCTGGTATTTTAGTTCAGATTGGGAACCTGCTTTTGAAGCAAATCTGGTAATCCCCATTTATGGCAATTTGATAGTGTCATTGCTGCTTCCTGTCAGATTAAGGGAAGATATTCTCTAGTTTTGGGGGTAGCTATTTTTACTTTTTTATTTTCTTATGTTAATTTCTCGGATAGAAATTCCCTGTTACAAATATTACAATTTTGATGGTCAATATAACAGAGGGGAAAAAAGGAGGAAAAATCACAGCCTTCAGCATATTGACAAGATTTTTTTTCAGAACAATAAAAAAATTACATGGAGAATAAAAGACTAAGTACTTTTTCAATCCCTAGTCAGACGTCAATAATAAGTAAGCTTCTATATGAGAGCTCGGAGAAATTGCAGTTACAAAATATATATTACATTACTTATTTTGCAAAGAAGGGAATGGCTGCAATAAAAATGGGAATGGCATACAACAGAAGTCAGCTTTCAGAAGTAAATGTAAAAATTGTTAGATATCAGGGGGTACTTTGGAGCTGTATAACTTTATAATCATGGAAATGAACATATTTGTACCTTTAATCATACTGAAGGCAAAGAAATAAGTATCATGCCTTTGGACTAACACTGTGGGTTGGAATCTTGCTTCCATTTGGAATGCACAGGTCTTAGCTTACTGCTAAGGTACTGCACTTCAGTGTTACCACCAGCTATGTTTGTAAAATGAAATGAGTTGTGCCACCCACCTGTGTGTCCTGGAGATAACTGTGTCCTCTCCATAAGTCAATAACAATGCAACTTTCTGGGGTTTTTTGCTTAATTCTATGTAGTAACATATGCTGCTGTGTATCTCAGTAACAGTTCAGCTGCTTTTTATTTAAAGGAGTTTTCAGATGTACAGACATTCTGTATTTTCTTTTTTTGTCTATATGGAATTAATATCTACAATTTGATATAGATGAGGTTATTATTGAAAAAATCAGTTTCAAATATGTATCAGAAATAGCTTTCATACGATACTGAAACTATAAAAATCTTTAATTCATGGATGCAAGGTATTATTATATATTGTAGCCTACTATTTACCCTTAATATTTCTGGCTTTCTTCTTCTTAATAAACTGCTGGTTTGCACAGTCCACAGGTAGTTTAGGTTAACCTTGTGACTTCATTTCTAAGATATCATTTCCATACTTTAACTTGATCATTTCCAATGAAAATTTTTCAGATATATGTTATGTAAATGGCAGGTAGAGAATACAGTTCATTAAACTGAAACTTATCTTTTACATTACAGAATTCTCTTTTTGAAAGGAGCTACATAATTTATAAGCATAAATAGTGAAGTATATAAAAACTTAACATTTGAAAACAGGTTTATGTCTGCTTCTGAAGATTGGAAACAGTATTCTGCTTTCACATGAGTCTTTTAAGATGTAAAAATTCAATTCCCTTTTTTAGATCTATGACTATTTACCTGAATACAGAGGAAAAAGTGTTCCCACAGAAAAAGAAAAATAACTCTTCAGAAATTTCTCGAGTCATTGTAACCGAAGTATATAAGGTATGAATTGAATGCTTTGATTATCAACCTTCATGAAGCCAGGGCTCTGCAGAGCAAGAACTTTTTATGAAAGCAAGTATATAAGAGCATCTCTGAAAGTTGTTAAATGTTTACAGCAGCAGTATAAGTTAGTGGAATAGTATCATCATTGGCATTTTGCTGGAGAAACTCTGTAGTTTGGCAGAATGATCACAAGTTGGACGTGTTTATCAACCTTTGCTGATCAAAAGTAGCATCAGCGGAAACCAGTGCAAGATCCTGGATTGTAATATTCAGTTCAAAGTAATACATTTAGTAAAAGCCATGCTCTGTTTTTTATAGCTCCTTTTAGTTCTAGTTGCAGCCTTTACTCAACAATTGTTTTTAAACAACAATATCATCAATAAATGGAAAGGGAGATTTTAACAAACTCTTTCCTATAAACATATATAAAGTGATTATATCTGACTATATGTTAAAATTTCAATGAAATGAAGATACATGAGATAGGGAGCTGGTAATTCCATCCTACAGTTTTCTGTGTCTTAAACTTCCAGAATTTATCTCAAATGATTTAAAAGGTGGCTTGTGCTTGCTTTTTGGAAAATTTAGATTAATAAAATGGTTTATAATTGCAGAAGACGCTACATTATTTGCCATTTTTATATTATGTTTTAAAGAAGGTCCAAATGTAAAATCTAAAGTGTTAATTTTTTATCTAAGCTATTAACAAACTCTCTTAAATATAAAAGATTAATAGCAGAACAAGGTCAAAACTTTTATAATCTTTGACTCTGTTGTCCTTGTAAAGTTTTGCACTTGGGGTTAATGTGGTACAATATTCATGAGAGAGAATGTCAGAATATTGGCAGTGTTGTAATATTTTCATTCATCTTTTCCTTGGTTACGTGACTTCATATTAAAACTGATTCATGTCGCCATGCTTCCTTGCTCTACACCTACATTTTAGTGTGCCCTGTACAAATGTATCTTTGCCAAATTAGCAGTGCAAATATGACCCACCCCCACGTTTTTCACATAGAGTATCATCCTGTGAGCCTAAAAAAAATGTACTTTTTGTAAGAGGTGAAAAATTAAATTGCATACAAAGATGCTACTACCTCTTGCTAATATTTCAGGTATTACTATGTGAACTCATTATGTGACTATAATTTAGTCACCGTCAAGTTCCAAAGAAAGCTTCAGTCATCAGGATGATTATTTCTTTTCTAAATTTCATTGGAGATAGTGCAGCAGCAATGGTCTTTTGGCACTACTGCCACTACTTCTCTCTTGGTCGTCTATAGAATTCTTTTTTAAGGAAAATTACTATTTCACTTACAGTTGGTGAGATGTTCCCCATACCATGTGTGCTGTATTTTTAAAATGGATTTGCATATTAACCTTCAGACATCACATGAATTGACTATTGAATGGTATTGGTTTGTTCATTACTTGTTATTTCAAATTATCATAAAAATCTATGTTAATAGTTCAGTACTCTACTTATAGATGAAAAGTGTGGCCAGTCTATTCTTTATGAAAGACTCTGCAATGAGAGAAATTATATGATAATTCCAGACATCATAATAGTAGCTCAGGGCATAACTTCTACTGTTAGTGAGAATGAAAATCTCATATTTCAGACATTTAATTTGGGTACTACCGCAGTGGGGCACACAGAATATCTTGCTTCTCATTCTTCTTGAAAAATGGCATAACTGTTGTAGTATGTAGTAGAATGTAGTAGGAACTTTGAAGATCAGTCTGGAAGAAAACCCAGACATTTCCCTGGATTTCTGAGGAGAGAGTGGACAAGCAGTTCCTGTCCCTCTCCCTGTGTGTAAACCATGAGTGCCTTTGGAGTCTGAAGTATTTTCCCATTCATCTTCTATCCCTCTCTCCTTCTTTTGCTCTTAAACTCAGTTTTACTTTCTTTTAGTATAATCATCAGAGTCATATGGTTTACTTCTGTCTGATTTCAGAGCTCTTTGGAGGGGTATGTGTGCTCTTTTTGTTTTAATTTCCTGAGTGTTGTATACCCGCAGTGTCCTAGATTACATTTTTGTAAGTATGGCTACTATATACATGTGCCTGTGTATATATATATATATATATATGTCTATATAGATGTGTGCTATATATAACTGTCCTTAACACTTACTGCTGGAAATATGTTATTTTCCTTACACTTTTGCAATAACCACCTTATCATAAACATAAATACACAGCACTCATTCTTTAAATTAACTGGCAATCTTAGGTCATCTACATGGTGCTGTGTTCATTTTATTTGATGACAGAAGACTCAGTCTTGCCTTAAGGAAGAGTAATTTTAATTGCAGTTTTTCATTAGCCAGATCTTCTTTCTGTGACAGTGGGGTCTCTCTTTATGGTTCTCAGAGTTGTAGACTCTGGAGGCAGGCATGCCCCTCTCATTCTCATAGAATGACATTTAAAGCTTATTAAATTTCTAAGAATACATTTTTTATTTTTCTGTATTAATTGGTAAAATTGATATTTTACACAGCTTAAATGCAGAAACAAAATACCAAAAACTTCAACATTATTGACATTTTTGCTCATGGCAAAACAGGCTTTGACCTACAAAAAAGTATTCAGATAAAGAAAAGTTGCTACACTGAAGCCTTTAAAGTGGCTGGAAATTTGATCCATTACTTTAAAGAGACTGGCCATCAGATAAAGACATGGTGCAGTTTAGTATATATTGGGCACTGCAATTCATGGAGGTCTGTGTACAACAGAATCAGTTCATTATCTTAATTGCATGTCTCCTTTTAGCTTATTTTCAAGAGTTTAAAGGAAGTTATTACATTATTTATTTATATCTAAGTTCAGAATGTTTTTTACAAGGCACATTGTCAGGACAAAACAACAGTGAACAATAAAAGGCAGTTTGCTGTGAAATTACATTTATGTTAAACCATATATATACTGACTTCAAAGACAATGTCTGTCCTTCTGAAGGTATTTGGTGTCCAAACATTTCAGATTTACAGATGTGCAGTGTCTGTAATAATGATATCAAAGACAAATCCTTAGCTCAATACATTAAAAATGGATGATTACTGTATTGCTTTTTTAAGAAAAAATGTTTTCAAAATAAAATGTTAATTATCTATGATCTTGCAAACATGAAACAAAAAAGCTTGACACCGTGATTGTAGCTGCTTTGTCATTTTAGTGGTCTGTGGTAATAAAGCTGTAGCTGTAAAAGAGCAGTATAATATTTCTAATATAAGTGAAAAAGTTTGTTTACTGACAAATTGAACAAAAGACAAAAGAAAATTTTGATCTTCCTTGGCTTAAACAACTTCTGTGCGTAGGAAATTCCCTGTAATGTGCATTCAGTTCTATAATAATATTCTCTATATTCTATATTCTAATTCTAGATATTTAATTCAGAGTACTGAACTGTTGCTGAAAATGAGAGGAGAATCATGTGTCAGCCCTTAGTTGTTCACAGAATGTTTCTAAGACAGTGTGCCATTCCCAGGAGTGTAGTTGGGCTGCTTTATTTGTTTAAGAAAGACGTACAAAGATCAAGATGGCTTTAGAAGCTACACAGGGCTTTAAAATTGCTGGAGGGGAACATTGCCTTGAAGGGGAGTATGGAGGCAATATTAAATTTTTAGCTGGCTGCCCTGATAGAGTTTTTACAAGTAATAAAAAATGTTACACAAGTATGCACATCCATATATCCATCTTCATCATGGAGAACAGTTCTGTATTGCTGGTGACATAAATAGTACTCTGATCTCGTTCCCCCATATTCCATTATAGCTAATGCTTAAGATTTATATATTAAGCATGTAAGGAAGTGACACTATGGTCCAGGAGTACAGCATCACATACCAGTCCAGAGGCACTGGGCTCCTGTGGCATCTGGGTTTGTAGGGGGCTGTTACCTTTGATTGGTACACAAAGGATAGAACCTCTTCCAAAAGCAGGGAAGGCCCAACTATTTAGTCACAGCTGTTCACTGTACAGTTGCCTCTGCAAGACCTAGCACCTGTATTTTCAGGTAAGTTTTCTGGCTAGGTTTAAGCAGAGGGATGGTAGGATTGTTCTTTCCTCCTTTCCTAAAATATTGTGGCTTTTGCTTTCCTTACAACTCTTTATTTTCAGAATTTACTTCTATTAGCAAACATTTTAATGAAAGTTTATGCATTTAATTGACATATAGTCAAGGCTGTGAACCTGCCATACTTGACATAGAATAATTGCAGTGAGTTTATGCTATTAACCATCTAATAACAAGAAATTACAGGATAAAGATGGGGTTTTGATAATGCGATATTGATTGATGTTGAATGGGTGTTTGTAACAGATACTGTTGATAATTCATGCGAAGTTGTGTTTAATGTCCTTCAGACTTTCTTACATTTCACCTGTGATAATAGACACAGGTTTCTTCAATGTCAGAGTGAGATGCTAGAAACCATTTCTCTATCAGAAGTTGGGTGAGTGAAGGTGGGGAACTGGAACCTCTGGCACTTCAACAGCTCTGCAAAGGTGCCTCACTGGTAGGCCTTGGACTTCGAGGAGTACCTGCATGTATGATATGTCTTGAGTAGAAACCCATATCTAGGCCACTGGTATTGGAATGAGAAAGGCAGATAAAACAGGAAAGGTACTTTTGCTGTGTACATGTGGTGTTATGTGCAGGTGCTGTCGAATCTCACTTTTCTGTCAGGCTGCCAGTCCTGTTGTGAGGCTTTTTGTCACACTGCAGCTATGTTTTAGGTATTTGTCACAAAAACAGGTGCATGAGCTGCCTAGTTTAAAAAACCAGCATAATGATCTTTATATATATATATATATGTATGGCTATATAAAGTGGTCTTTCTGATTGTGATTTTGTGAGAAAAAAGGAGATGGAGGGTATCTAGGAAACTTGTACAGAGGAGTTCCATGCATAGTTACCTCAGGACTTGTCTCTGAGGGGGTTTGCTATCTTCAAAGTTTGTTCTTCTAGCTTGACTAGGTTAAGTGGTTTTGTCTTTTCTAGTTATTAAGAAAATGTTTACAGTACTTGAAGATATATTCTTAGCTTATCTTTTAAGTATAAATGTAGACCTTAGTATGTTTAATAGCTGGGTAATTTTGGATCTGAATTCACTGATTCAGGTTAGACAGCAAACATTTCTTAATGGCACTTAGCAATTATTAACAAAACCTCTCTATGTCCTTGACTTTTTTGACACTGCCAATCAAAATTTGTCTTCCCTTTGGGCATGTCTTATGAGCTTCTTAGATTCAGAATAATTTATAATGAGTAAATCAAACAATTCTCTAACACGTTAATGGCCTTAATTTCCTCCTTCTCCTC